CATCCATCCATCCATCCATCCATCCATTGTGCATGTATACATGTATGCATCCATTCTCTATCCAACCATCCATCCATCCATCCATCCATCCATCCATCCATCCATCATCCAACCACCCATCCATCATCTATCCATCCATCCATCCATCCATCCATCCATCCATCATCCATCCATCCATCCATCCACCCATCCATCATCTATCCATACATCATCCATCCATCCATCCATCCATCCATCCATCCATCCATTGTGCATGTATACATGTATGCATCCATTCTCTATCCAACCATCCATCCATCCATCCATCCATCCATCCATCCATCCATCCATCATCCAACCACCCATCCATCATCTATCCATCCATCCATCCATCCATCCATCCATCCATCCATCCATCATCCATCCATCCATCCATCCACCCATCCATCATCTATCCATACATCATCCATCCATCCATCCATCCATCCATCCATCCATCATCCATCCATCCATCCATCCATCCATCCATCATCCATCCACCCATCCATTCTCCATTCATCATCCATCCATGCATCCCTCCATCCAGCCTGAATCCCTGCCAACCATCCCTCCATCCACCATGCATGCATCCATCCCTCCATTCATCCATCATCCATCCATAGTGCATGTATGCATCCATGCATCCATCCATCCTCCATCCATCCTCCATGCATCCCTCCCTTCATCCACGGACACTGGGGTCCCCAAGTCCCCCTTTGCTCCTCCATATCCCAGCTCCAGTGCACACCCCGCTGTTATGTGTCACCCAACCACAGCACGCAGACCACCCCCAAAACCCATCACACAGTGCAGGGGGGGATCACCTCCACTTCCCACCTCCTTTATTCCATAGAGGAGGACCCGGAGCCCCCCATTATCCCGATGGAAAAGCCTTGATGACCTTGACGTCGTCGAGGGGCCGGTCCTGCGCGTTGGTGTCCACCATGGCGAGGCGCGCCAGCACCGCCATGCCCTGGCTCACCCGGCCGAAGATGCTGTGCTTCCCGTCCAGCCACTGCGCCGGGGCCAGCGTCAGGAAGAACTGGCTGCCGTTGGTGTCCGGCCCCGCGTTAGCCATCGCCAGGATCCCTGCGCCTGGGGGGGGAAAGGAGGGAGGGATGGAGGGAGGGATGGATGATGGATGGATGATGGATGGATGGATGATGGATGGATGGATGATGGATGGATGGATGGATGGATGGATGGATGGATGGATGGATGAATGGATGGATGATGGATGGATGATGGATGGATGGATGGATGATGGATGGATGATATGGAGTATGATGGATGGATGATGGATGATATGGATGGATGGATGGATGGAGGATGGATGGATGATGGATGGATGATATGGATGGATGATGGATGGATGATGGATGGGTGGATGGATGGATGGAGGATGGATGATGGATAGACAATAGCATGAATGGTTTGGGGGCTTGGGGGCGGGTTGACCTGGTTTCATGGCAGACAGAGCACCCCATGCATGGGATTTGGGGGCACACATTGCACCCCATGGCCAAGGTTCTGACATTGTGGGGGACATGCCATGGATGAGGTCTGGGTGTCACGTCACCCTATGGACAAGTCCTGTTGGACACGAGGGTCACATCACCCTACAGACAGGTCCTGGTGGATAGGGGTCACATCACCCTATGGACAGGTCCTGGTGGACACGATGGTCACATCACCCTATAGACAGGTCCTGGTGGACACGAGGGTCACATTACCCTATAGACAGGTCCTGGTGGACACGAGGGTCACATCACCCTACAGACAGGTCCTGGTGGATACAGGGGTCACATCACCCTATAGACAGGTCCTGGTGGACATGAGGGTCACATCACCCTATAGACAGGTCCTGGTGGATACGGGGGTCACATCACCCTATGGACAGGTCCTGGTAGATAGGGGGGTCACATCACCCTATGGACAGGCCCTGGTGGACATGAGGGTCACATCACCCTATAGACAGGTCCTGGTGGACACGAGGGTCACATCACCCTATAGACAGGTCCTGGTGGATACGGGGGTCACATCACCCTATGGACAGGTCCTGGTAGATAGGGGGGTCACATCACCCTATGGACAGGTCCTGGTGGACACGATGGTCACATCACCCTATAGACAGGTCCTGGTGGACATGAGGGTCACATCACCCTATAGACAGGTCCTGGTGGACACGAGGGTCACATCACCCTATAGACAGGTCCTGGTGGATACGGGGGTCACATCACCCTATGGACAGGTCCTGGTAGATAGGGGGGTCACATCACCCTATGGACAGGTCCTGGTGGACACGAGGGTCACATCACCCTATAGACAGGTCCTGGTGGACATGAGGGTCACATCACCCTATAGACAGGTCCTGGTGGATACGGGGGTCACATCACCCTATGGACAGGTCCTGGTGGACACGAGGGTCACATCACCCTATAGACAGGTCCTGGTGGATACGAGGGTCACATCACCCTATGGACAGGTCCTGGTGGACACGAGGGTCACATCACCCTATAGACAGGTCCTGTTGGACACGAGGGTCACATCACCCTATAGACAGGTCCTGGTGGATACGAGGGTCACATCACCCTATGGACAGGTCCTGGTGGACACGAGGGTCACATCACCCTATGGACAGGTCCTGGTGGACACGGGGATCAGATCACCCTATAGACAGGTCCTGGTGGACACGAGGGTCACATCACCCTATAGACAGGTCCTGGTGGACACGAGGGTCACATCACCCTATGGACAGGTCCTGGTGGACACGAGGGTCACATCACCCTATGGACAGGTCCTGGTGGACACGAGGGTCACATCACCCTATGGACAGGTCCTGGTAGATAGGGGGGGTCACATCACCCTATGGACAGGTCCTGGTGGACACGAGGGTCACATCACCCTATAGACAGGTCCTGGTGGATACGGGGGTCACATCACCCTACGGACAGGTCCTGGTGGACACGAGGGTCACATCACCCTACGGACAGGTCCTGGTGGATACGGGGGTCACATCACCCTATAGACAGGTCCTGGTGGATACGGGGGTCACATCACCCTACGGACAGGTCCTGGTGGACACGAGGGTCACATCACCCTACGGACAGGTCCTGGTGGATACGGGGGTCACATCACCCTATGGACAGGTCCTGTTGGACAGGAGGGTCACATCACCCTACAGACAGGTCCTGGTGGACACGAGGGTCACATCACCCTATAGACAGGTCCTGGTGGATACGGGGGTCACATCACCCTATGGACAGGTCCTGGTGGACACGAGGGTCACATCACCCTATAGACAGGTCCTGGTGGACACGGGGGTCACATCACCCTACAGACAGGTCCTGGTGGATACGGGGGTCACATCACCCTATGGACAGGTCCTGGTGGACACGAGGGTCACATCACCCTATAGACAGGTCCTGGTGGACACGAGGGTCACATCACCCTATGGACAGGTCCCACTGTGCCCCTACCACTCACCGGTGAACTTGAGCTCCGGGTGCAGCTCATCCTCAAAGTGCTTCCCATAGATGGAGGCACCACCACGGCCTGGGAAGAGGGTGGGGGGGAATGATGGAAACAGGGGGTCAGCGGCATGAGGGAGAGGGGGGGACCTGTAATGGGGTGACCGGGGGGGGGGGCAGGATGCTCACCGGTGCCGGTGGGGTCCCCCCCTTGCACCATGAAGTCCTTGATGACGCGGTGGAACTTGGTGCCGTTGTAGTAGCCGCGGCGGCAGAGCTCCGCGAAGTTCCTGCACGTGCGGGGCGCGTGCTTCCAGTAGAGCTCCAGCACCAGCGGGCCCATCCTGCGGGACACAGAACCGGGAATGGGAACGGGATGGGGGGAATGGGAATGGGTGGGAACGGGGAAGGGGACCGGGGGCTGTCCGGTACAGGGAGAGGGCAATGGGATGGGGGATAACGGGGCATCCGGTACTCAGGAAGGATGAACCGGAAATGGGGTGTAATGGGGTATAACTGGTACCAGGTGGAACCGGAACCGGGACGTAATGGGGTATAACTGGTACCACGGTGAACCGGAACCGGGATGTAATGGGGTATAACTGGTACCGCGGTGAACCAGAACCGGGATGTAATGGGGTATAACTGGTACCGCGGTGAACCGGAACCGGGATGTAATGGGGTATAACTGGTACCGCGGTGAACCGGAACCGGGACCTAATGGGGTATAACTGGTACCGCGGTGAACCGGAACCGGGATGTAATGGGGTATAACTGGTACCGCGGTGAACCGGAACCGGGATGTGATGGGGTATAACTGGTACCGCGGTGAACCGGAACCGGGATGTAACGGGGTATAACTGGTACCGCGGTGAACCGGAACCGGGATGTAACGGGGTATAACTGGTACCGCGGTGAACCGGAACCGGGATGTAACGGGGTATAACTGGTACCACGGTGAACCGGAACCGGGATGTAATGGGGTATAACCGGTACTGGGGCGAACCAGGACGTAACGGGGTATAACCGGTACCAGTGTGAACCAGAACTGGGACATAACGGGGTATAACCGGTACCGGGGTGAACCAGAACTGGGACATAACGGGGTATAACCGGTACCGGGGTGAACCGGGGTGCAACGGAGTGAACCGGAACGGGGGTGAACCGGTACCGGGGTGAAGCGGACCCGGGTGTAACCGGTACCGGTACCGGGGGGATGTCCTTACGTGGTCTCCATGGAGACGGTGGGCGGTTGCCAGGAGTCAGGCGGGACGGCGGCCATGCCGCCGCTAGCGCGCGCTTCCGGGGACACGCCCCCTTCCCCTGCCACAGCCAATGGGAGAGAGCGTTCGGAAAGGGGCGTGCCCTCAGGGAGCAGAGCCAATCGGCGCTGCGGGCTCTGGTGACGCGATGGAGGGGGAATGAGAACGGGACCACGCCCCCTCCTCCCCCCCATGGCCACGCCCCCGCTTCCCCTTAGGCCACGCCCCCCTCCTCCCACCGGGCCACGCCCCCTCCCCGCCTCGGCGCGCGCGCGGGAGAGCGGGAACCGGGGGCGGTGAGCGGGGAGCCGGGGGGGGGGGGGGGGCGGGAGGGGGAGGGAGGAGCGGGGATGGGACCCACGGATGTGGGGCAGGGGAGGGGCAGCGATGGGACCCACGGATGTGGGGCTGGGCCCCCCCCCGGTGTGGGATGGGATGCTCTGGAATGGGGGTGCGGAGCTCGGACCCCTCGGTGTGGGGCTGGGACCTCCTGGGATGGGGGTGTGGGGCCGGGAAGCACTGGGATCAGGGTGTGGGGCTGGGACCCCCCGATGTGGGGTGGGGATGCTCTGGAATGGGGGGTGTGGGGCTGGGACACCCCCGTTTGGGGACTGGGGGCCCTCCGGGATGGGAGTGTGGGACTGCGTCCTCTCGGTGCGGGGCTGGGACCCCCCGGGGACGGGGTTGTGGGGCTGGGACCCCTCGATGTGGGGCTGGGACCACCGGGGATGCGGTTGTGGGGCTGGGACCCTCCGATGTGGGGCTGGGATCACCGGGGATGCAGTTGTGGGGCTGGGACCCCTCGGTGTGGGGCTGGGCCCCCCGGGGGTGGGGTTGTGGGGCTGGGATCCCTCGGTGAAGGGCTGGGACTCCCCGGGGATGAGGTTGTGGGGCTGGGACCCCCTGATGTGGGGCTGGGCCCCCCGGGGATGAGGTTGTGGGGCTGGGATCCCCTGATGTGGGGCTGGGACCCCCCGATGTGGGGCTGGGCCCCCCGGGGGTGGGGTTGTGGGGCTGGGATCCCCTGATGTGGGGCTGGGACCCCCCGATGTGGGGCTGGGCCCCCCGGGGATGAGGTTGTGGGGCTGGGATCCCCCGATGTGGGGCTGGGCCCCCCCGCTCCGTGCCCGCTCCGCCGGAGCCATCCCCGCCTGGCACCGTCGGGTCCCGTCCCCCCCCCCCGCCCCATCCCTGGTGTCACCGCTCCCCCCCAGGCAGCCGCGGCCATGGAGCAGCCGCGGCCCCCCCGCGGCCCCCCCGGTGGCGGCGAAGCGGGGCTGCCCCCCCCCCCCGGGCCCCCCGACGTCCGCTTCGTCACCGAGGAGAGCTTCGACTTCGGGCTCCTGTCCCCGTCCGACAGGTGGGGGGGGGGGGCTGAATGGGGGACATGGGGGGTGTGGAGCCCCATGGATGGGGGATGTGGAGCCCCATAGATGGGAGATGTGGAGCCCCATAGATGGGAGATGTGGAGCCCCATGGATGGGGGATGTGGAGCCCCATAGATGGGGGATGTGGAGCCCCATAGATGGGGGATGTGGAGCCCCATAGATGGGAGATGTGGAGCCCCATAGATGGGAGATGTGGAGCCCCATGGATGGGGGATGTGGAGCCCCATAGATGGGGGATGTGGAGCCCCATAGATGGGGGATGTGGAGCCCCATAGATGGGAGATGTGGAGCCCCATGGATGGGGGATGTGGAGCCCCATGGATGGGGGATGTGGAGCCCCATAGATGGGGGATGTGGAGCCCCATGGATGGGGGATGTGGAGCCCCATAGATGGGGGATGTGGAGCCCCATAGATGTGGAGCCCCATAGATGGGGGATGTGGAGCCCCATAGATGGGGGATGTGGAGCCCCATGGATGTGGAGCCCCATAGATGGGGGATGCGGAGCCCCATAGATGTGGAGCCCCATAGATGGGGGATGCGGAGCCCCATAGATGGGGGATGCGGAGCCCCATGGATGGGGGATGTGGAGCCCCATAGATGGGAGATGTGGAGCCCCATAGATGGGGGATGTGGAGCCCCATAGATGGGGGATGTGGAGCCCCATGGATGGGGGATGTGGAGCCCCATAGATGGGAGATGTGGAGCCCCATAGATGGGGGATGTGGAGCCCCATAGACGGGTGATGTGGAGCCCCATAGATGTGGAGCCCCATAGATGGGGGATGCGGAGCCCCATAGATGTGGAGCCCCATAGATGGGGGATGCGGAGCCCCATAGATGGGGGATGCGGAGCCCCATGGATGGGGGATGTGGAGCCCCATAGATGGGAGATGTGGAGCCCCATAGATGGGGGATGCGGAGCCCCATAGATGGGGGATGCGGAGCCCCATGGATGGGGGATGTGGAGCCCCATAGATGGGAGATGCGGAGCCCCATAGATGGGGGATGTGGAGCCCCATAGACGGGTGATGTGGAGCCCCATAGATGTGGAGCCCCATAGATGGGGGATGCGGAGCCCCATAGATGTGGAGCCCCATAGATGGGGGATGCGGAGCCCCATAGATGGGGGATGCGGAGCCCCATGGATGGGGGATGTGGAGCCCCATAGATGGGAGATGTGGAGCCCCATAGATGGGGGATGTGGAGCCCCATAGATGGGGGATGTGGAGCCCCATGGATGGGGGATGTGGAGCCCCATAGATGGGAGATGCGGAGCCCCATAGATGGGGGATGTGGAGCCCCATAGACGGGTGATGTGGAGCCCCATAGATGTGGAGCCCCATAGATGGGGGATGCGGAGCCCCATAGATGTGGAGCCCCATAGATGGGGGATGCGGAGCCCCATAGATGGGGGATGCGGAGCCCCATGGATGGGGGATGTGGAGCCCCATAGATGGGAGATGTGGAGCCCCATAGATATGGAGCCCCATAGATGTGGAGCCCCATAGCCGGGTGATACAAACCCCATAGCCGGGTGATACAAACCCCATAGCCGGGTGATACAAACCCCATAGCCGGGTGATACAAACCCCATAGCCAGGTGATACAAACCCCATAGCCGGGTGATACAAACCCCATAGCCGGGTGGTACAAACCCCATAGCCGGGGCACTTTCCACGCAGTGGCCGAGGCTTGGGATTCCCCGCGGTACCTGGCACCCATCAGTGGGGTCCCGGAGCCCGTGGGGGGGGTGATGGCGGCCGCAGCGCCCCATAGCCAAGCTCCCACCTTCCCCCCCCCCCCCCGCAGCCAGGACGAGGACGAGGAGGATGAAGCCGATGTCGGGGGGGGCTGGAGCCCGCTGCGGGGCGCGCGCCTGGAGGAGCTGGTGCGGGAGGCGTCGCGCGTGGCCGCGGAGCTGCAGCGCTGCCGCCTGCCCCCCCCCGCGGGCCCCCGCCCCCCCCGCAGCCCCCGCCGGGAAACGTTCGTGGTGCGGGACAGCCCCGTGCGCGCGCTCCTGCCCACCGTGAGCGCGCGGGGCCCCCCCGCCCCACAGCCCCCCCCCCCCAAGCACCGGGCACCCCCCGCTGCCGGCAGCGCCCCCAAGGTAGGTCCCAAACCCATGGGGGGAGGGGCTGGGCTGAGCCGTGTCCTTGTGCCCCCCCCCCACACCCAACCTCTGCTGCAGGCGGCCCCCACAGCGGCACCCAAAGGACCCCCCGGCACCAGGGTGCCCCCCCCGAGCAGGGTGGGGGGAGCCCCCCCCCGGGTTTGCCCTCCCCAAGGGAGGGGGGCTGGGGCCCGGGGAAAGGAAGGAGCGCGGGGGGGGGCAGCAGGTACCGGATCTGGGGGGGTGCGGATGGGGATGGGGAGGGATGGGGATGGGGATGGGGATGGAAGGGATGGGGATGGGGATGGGGATGGGGAGGGATGGGGATGGGGATGGGGATGGGGATCGGGATGGGAAGGGATGGGGATGGGGATGGGGATGGGGAGGGATGGGGATGGGGATGGGGATGGGGATCGGGATGGGAAGGGATGGGGATGGGGATCGGGATGGGAAGGGATGGGGACGGGGATGGGGATGGGGAGGGATGGGGACGGGGATGGGGATGGGGATGGGGATGGGGAGGGGATGGGGATGGGGATGGGGATGGGGATGGGGAGGGGATGGGAATGGGGAGGGGATGGGAATGGATAGGGTTGGGAATGAATGGGGATGGGGATGGGAAGGGATGGGGATGGAAATGGATGGGGATGGGGATGGGGAGGGGATGGAAATGGATGGGGATGGGATGGGGATGGGAAGGGATGGGGATGGGGAGGGGATGGAAATGGGGATGTGAAGGGATGGGGATGGAAATGGATGGGGATGGGAAGGGATGGGATAGGGATGGGGATGAATGGGGATGGGGATGGGAAGGGGTGGGGATGGGAAGGGATGGGGATAGGAATTAATGGGGAGGGGATGGGGATGGAAATGGATGGGGATGAGAATGAATGGGGATGGGAAGGGATTGGGATGGGGATGAGAATTAATGGGGAGGGGATGGGGATGGGAACGAATGGGAATGGGGATGGGGATGGGACGGGGATGGATGGGGATGGAGACAACGTGGGTACAGGGCAGGGACACCCACTCCATTGAGGGCACCCATTGCAGGGGGCACCCAAACCATGGGCCCCCTGCCATGGGAGACATTGCATGGAGCACCCACTGCATGGGGTACTTGGTTCACGGAGCACCTTCACCATGGGGCACCCACACCATGGCGCAGGGGGTGGGTCAGGGTGGGTCAATGGGGGGCAGGGGAGTCAATGGGGGGCAGGGGGAGTCAATGGGGGGCAGGGGGGGTCAATGGGGGTCAGGGTGAGTCAATGGGGGTCAGGGGGGGTTAAGGTGCCCCCCCCTCACCCCCCACCCCTCTCTCTCCCCAGCCCAGCCAAAGGCAAGGGGAGCTCCCCCCCCAAGCCGCCAGCCCCACAGCCGGACCCCGGCCCCCCCCAGCCCCTCAGCCCGTGCCCCCCCATCCACCACCCTGCCCCGGGCCAGGGGGGGCCCGGCCCCCCGAGGTGAGGAAGGTGCTGCTGGAGGGGGGGGGGGGGGGCAACGTGGTTCCCCCCCCTTGCCTCAGTTTCCCCCTTGGGGCTCTCCCCATTGCAGGAGCATCACGGGGGCCCCCCCCAGCGCCCAGCACCGGCTGCAAACCGGGGCCCCCCCCCGGCCGCCTGCGGGGCCCCCGGAAGCCAGCGGTGAGCAGCGCCCCGAGGTGACCCCCCCACGGGAGGGGGGGGGTGGGGGTCAGGGCCCCCCCCAGGATGAGGCCGAGGCTCAGGTTGGATTTTGCTTTAATTACAAAAGGAAACCATCATCAATAGGACCTCCCCCCCCCCCCAAAGCACCCAGGGGTCCCCCAGCACCCTCCCCACAGTGCCCCCCCTATGGGTGCCACCACCTGAGCCTCACCCCTGGGGGGGGAGGGTGTAATATTGGTTCCCCCCATTCATGGTGCCCCCCCCCCCCCAGTGTCACCATGGGGGGGGGAGGGGCCCTAAATACCCTTTTTTTTTGTATTTTCCAAGTATTTTTTAAATAAATCCCTCCACCGGGTCCTGGGGGCTGTGGGTGATGGGGGGGGGGAGGGGGAGGGGGGGTCAGGGTGGGGGGCACCCAATACCAACCCCCCCCCCCACCCCAACCCAAGAAGGTGCCAAGGGGTGGGGGGTAAATCCCTGCCAGCATCCATAGTGCAATGGGGGGGGTGTCCCCATGGTGTGCCCCCCCCATCCCCATGACACCCATGGTGTGATGCGTGCCCCCCCCCCCAACCCAGCAGTGTCCCCATGGCGCTGGCACTGGGGGTGCCGTGGGTCCCCGTTAGATGGAGGTCTCGTCGCTCCTGGGGGGCGATGGACGGACGCACACATGGGCATGGTGGGGGGGGGGGGGAAAAGACAGATGGATATGTGATGGGGGGCGAGGGGTGCAGGGGTGCCTTCAGCACCCATAGCACCCAATGGGGGGATGGAGGTGGGGGGGGGGGTAGGGTGAGCAGGAGCCCCCCCTTGGGTTAATGGAGGAAATTAAAGAACAGAAATCTGGGGGGGGGGGGGGGGGGGGGGGAGAGAAGAGGAGGGTTAGTGAGGGACCCCCCCCATGGCACCCAATGGGTGCTGAATGGGTGCCCTGTTTGACCTGATGGGCACCCAAGAGCCAATGGGTGGTCAATGGGCACCCAATGGACAGGGCAGCACTCAATGGACACCCAATGGGCACACCAGCACCCAATGGGTGGTCAATGGGCATCCAACGGGGGCCTGCTGGGCACCCAACAAGCACATTACTAACACATGGATGGCCAATGGGCACCCACCAGGCACTCCAGCACCCAATGAAGAGTCAATGGGCACCCAATGAGCACACCAGCACCCAGTATACAAGTCAATGGCCGTGCAGTGGGCACCAAATGGGCACGCTAACACCCAATGGGCACCCAAACACCCAATGGGCAAACAATCAGTACACCAACAACCAATGGGGAGTCAGTGAGCACCCAACAGACACCCAGCAGGCACACTAACACCCAGTGGAAACCCAGTGGGCACCCAATGGGCACAGTAACACCCAATGGAAACCCAGTGGGCACCCAATGCGCACAGTAACACCCAATGGAAACCCAGTGGGCACCCAATGGGCACAGTAACACCCAATGGAAACCCAATGGGCACCCAATGGAAACCCAGTGGGCACCCAATGGGCACAGTAACACCCAATGGAAACCCAATGGGCACCCAATGCACACAGCACCCAATGGAAATCCAACGGGCACCCAATAGAAACCCAATGGGCACCCAATGGGCACAGTAACACCCATTGGAAACCCAATGGGCACCCAATGAAACCCAATGGGCACCCCATGCGCACAGTAACACCCAGTGGGCACCCAATGGGCACCCCAACACCCAATGGGGAGCCAGCGGACACCACCAACCACCCTTGCACCCAATGGGCACAGTAACACCCGATGGGCACCCACAACACCCAATGGGCACCCGATGGACCCCACCAGCCACCCTCGCACCCAGTGGGCACCCATGGGTGCCCAGCACTCACTCGGAGCCGGAGGAGTCCTCGTCCACGGTCCCAGCCTTGATGCTCATGGCGATGGGGGTGACGCCGCTGAGCTGCTCCTGCAGGCTCTGCCGCGGGCGGGGGGCAGCCATGGGGCCCCCCCGCCCCCCCTCACTGCCCGAGGAGCCCGTGGGGGGGGCGGCGGGGGGGGGCAGGGGGTGCTGGGTGCTGCCGCGCTCACTGATGGGGGCCAGGCCCTTCTTCTTCAGGATCCCTGCAATGGGGTGGTGGGGGGGGGGGCATCACCCAGGGGGTCAGCATTGAGGTACCCCCCCCTCCCGCCCCATAGAGCCCCATAGCGCCCCACGTACCTTTGTGGGGGTGCGGCAGCAGTGGGGGATCCCTGGGGGGGGGATGTGGGGGGTCGCCCCCCCCCCGGCTCCACACGCAGGGTCCCGCTGCCCCCCCCCCCGGGCCCCTCGCTCTCGCTCGCTGTGGTCATGAACTCCCCCGGCCAATATGGGCAGCCCGGGGGGGGCACCCGGGCATCACCTGCGGTGGGGA